TTAAGACCTGAAATTGTATTTGATAAAAAGCTTTAAGGCCTTACATTGGATGACATGGGATAGGTAATATCTCTTTGAAGAGATGATACTGAATACCGACTTTGAAAACTAAAAAGATAATATGGCTGCAAAAATAATATAAAATTTCGTTTAATCACCAAAAGTGGGAGATAATTATGCTACCAGATAGACCTAACCACTCTTTATGTTGTTTCCAAATTTAGATTTAAGGATATAAGGCTTAAGTAAAGTAAATCTTCATGTATAAATGTTACTTAGCTACCTATATACTTCTATGAGAAGAGTTTCAGTAATTAAATTAATACATTCTAAAATGTATGCCTAGCCTTGGCTAGCTCATTTATGCTTAATAATTCACTACTTTCTAGGATCACGAATCTCATTAAATGGCAATTTTTAAAATTCTATCACTTTAATTTCTTTACTTTCTCTTCTTAAAGCTTGAGGGGAATTGGGAAAAAGGAAATCTAAGGTGGGTGGTGTTACGACGGGTGAGAGAATCTTGATTTTGTTTGTCAACAACGGAATGCTAATTATTAACTTTTATTCGGATGATAGCAATGCTCTGGCTTACTCAAATGCAAAACAAAAGCCGCTTGGGATTTCCAATTAAGTCAAGTATCCTTATAGCAAAAACCACCAAACGGACAGCAAGGTTCTACAGATTCACAACTATGAGGGTTTAGGGACCTTTGGTAAGGCCACGGTAACTCCGGCGGGTGGTGTCAAGGTCAGTTATCCACTGCTCAAATATCACGAGCCTGGAAGGAGTAACTTAAGACATAGGCCTCTGTGACGAAGCCAAAGGAGGGGTCAGCCTGAGGAGTGTAGTCGTAGAGGCGTCCGGATATCCTTCGGCGAGTAACTTGGCGCACAGCAAAAGGTTCCGATGCCCTAGTTGGGCCCAGATACTTATGGCCATTGCCTGCTATTTGAAGAGCTCGGCACAAGAAGATAAAGTGAAGATCACCATTTGGATTGGTGCCTCTGTAGTCAAGGTAGCTCTACAAATCTATGATGTACAGTTATAAGCAAAATTCTATCAGCTTTAATTGTTTTATTATGGGTCTCATGACTCATCCGATCACAATTCATTGAAGATAATACTCGATTCTTATAAGGAATAGATATCAGACAATTGGAACATCGATGTTGCTCGATAATATAAAAAAATCTTTTGCCCTTACTTCCGTTTCTAATGAAAGCGTTTGGTGAAGATATTCAAAGGTGATCCCACCAGAAGACGATAGGGGTTTCTTCTTAACCAGATGTCTATTAGCTTTGTCAGGACATTCTTGTTGATGCTGTTTCCGAGGTAATCTCCTTTGATTTATGTGAAAACGTGCTAAACTTTCGTCCGTCGTATAAGGTACATCATCATACTTACAACCATATTAAAACAAACGAGTCAAGAATATTCACTGGCTCATCCCTAGATATACACAATATGTGACCTCTTTAATGAGGTATCAAGTGATTTGGTTAGTTCCAGTCATATGTCAATCTTGAAGCATGTGTGTGTCTGTCTGTGTATGTGTCTGCATGTATTCGCATTTGTACAAATCAAGCAGTAATATCTTAAAATAATTAAAAAAAAGCAACGTCTTTTTATAACCATCAAGGTTTGATGACCACCATCAACCCCTTTATATATATTTATTTCATTTTATATATTTTAACCATAACTCCGATTACACAGTCTGAAACATGTCTGGATAAGTTGATAGGCTTTTTGTCTTCATTTGAGAGAGAAAAAGTGGGCTAAAAAGTAGAGAGGAGTGACCGTAATTAGAACAAAGACAATAAAAGACAATTTGGGTCGTCTTCCTTTTGCGGGTTGATCAACCCCCTCTATTCTTGACTATAATAATTAAACACAAGTGGTTTTAACTCAACCTCTTGTCGGTATTCCTTATATTCCATGTATTCCCCATTCAGTTTAATTAGCTAGCTTCCCTAATGTTACGTTTAGCCGTAGAAACGCTATTATAAGCAGAGAATAAATTAAGGATTAAGCCTGCATGTGCTGGCTTTCTAGATGCATTAAGGCTTAACTTCTCACTTGGTCTGATCACTAAAAGGGCAATCCCTTCGCTAGCTCCATGGTCGACTTGGCATTGCAATCAGTCTGGTTAATGGGGAGCAAGAAATTATCCAAACTATCCTTACCATGCTGCCATATGGCAAAATAGTCATCCATATATCCAACTAACAGTTTTGGTTTCAAATTTACCTCTTCCATGAAGCATTATTCCATCCTTTTTATGTAATTATTCGATAAAATAGGAGCCAAAAAATATCCAATTGCTAGACCTTGCACCTGCTCATGATAACAGCAAAGTAAGTTCAATAATTATTGAACCAGAGATTCATCGAAACCCAACTTTTCTTCGCATACAAAATTTTGTTAAATGTAAATTTATATAAATTGTAAATTGTAGAAAACCGACTATGGCTTCTCTAAGAGTGTGCATTTTACAAGGAAAGTGGCTAAATTGCATTAAACGTGAGAAAAGGATTTTTATATAATAATCATATCATAAAGTTTTTTCTCCTTATGTCTCCCCAAAATTTCTTCCATAAGGACTAAATAGATGCGTAAAACAGAACGCGTTTAATTTATTCTCTGATAGGATTCACTCGAAAAGATAGCCTAAAAGATTTTACGCTTCACTCTTATTGCTCTTAGTAATTTGATTACTAAAAATAATTGCCCCGCAGATGTGAATTTTATTGAAGAAGCAAAATAGACTGATGTAATCTTTTGGTATATTTCACCCAATGGCAATAAAAGAAAACTATGGTGCAGCTGTGAGCCTTTTAAAGTGCACTGTTCTGTCATGTTTGGACGTTTTACTCGTTTTTACGATATCTGCCTCGTGAACGAGAAAACTTTGAAAGAAGCTATATCGAAATCTACTTTACTCGAGGTTCTGATCTGCTAAATCCAATTATGAATACTTTCCAGCTAAATTTTATATAAGAATATATTTATAACGAAAATTGTCGATAATTTACCTCAAGGTATGAACACGGAAGAAATAAATAAATTATAGCTACGTGAATCCCAGAATAAATGCCAAATGGGCTTTGTGAAGTAGATATGGTTCAAATTAAAAGTGATACATCAGACGAAAACTTTCCGATTCATTCGCTTTCAAGAAAGATTAAATTCATGCTGAGTAGAGGAAAATTTTCCCAAGATAGGAGAGTTATTCCATCATACCATATAACCTTCACCTGAATTTATTTGGGAAATACTTGGCATAGCCATTCTGCTAGTAGTGAGGTATTTAAAGCCAAGGTTAACAAAATACTCAAGCCTATAATGACCTATAAGCACTTTCTCATAGTACAAAGAAGAATATTCAAAGTAATCAAGTCTCGCAATTAAGGTCTTCATTATGCAACATAAAGTTTTGCGACTTTATTGTAGTTATACTATATCTCACGTAAGGCTTGCTTATAGTTATCGTAATGATTAATCTATGTTGTTTTTCTGCATAAAATTCTAAGCTTTGCAGAAAATAAGATTGTTCGGTGGTATTGAGGACCATACAAGAAATGTATTTGTTATATCAGGGTTGGAAATAGTGGTGATGAGTGTACACATAAACATTCTGGGCCTTGGTATATTCCCAAGGCAGGAATCGAATCCAAGACAAGTGGAATGTTAAACTATTCCTCTTTAACCAGAGATCCACTTCCCTCATTCCGAATTTAGGAATATCTTAAATGTGTTTGAATTATGAGTATGGTCGGTATCTCATAGGGCATATTGGGTACTAAGACAAAAGAGGGCTTGACTCTATTCACAATTTTTGCTTTCTAGGCGCGTAGGACATAATAACCAAGCCTTTAGGTTTCATTGTTGCCACTACACTGTTGTGTGACAATCCTATCTTTGGCTCAAACAATATTTGCCCTTTTATAGTAAATGTATTCATCCTATTTTTTTAGGGTGATAAGAGGACGGGTAGTTACATTTTAGCATATTGATATGAGTGGGCATGACGCTTCCATTGAATTTCACATAACTTTCCTTTCCCAGAAGTAATTCTCATCCAGGGTTGACGTATAAATTAATAATAAGTAAAGTAGTCGATTGCTATAGCAAATACAACTTTGCTTCATCGTCAAAGAGGCAAGTGAAATCAATCCCTTGACCAACCTTCTGCCGAAACGTTTGTGGTATCATTTCTCTTTCTGTCTTTTCGCATCTATCTTCTCTCTACCCTCTTATCTCACTCCCACCTTATCACAACTTTTACTTGTTTATATTTCACCCCTTCAGAGGTGTGTCCTTTTTGGCGAGTTTAGTGTGACGTCATCACACCTGCTGTTGGCCTTGCCACTCGGCTTCTCGATTTGCTGATCCGACTCGGGTCTCCTATCTGGATCTCCTTCATCAGCTCGTAGATCCGTTTCTTATCTTTCCGTTTAACCGATTTCACTTGGTTCCAGCCCCAGTGTACGCTACACTCCAGGCGCTATTTCTCAGGCCTTCAGTACCACGTAGAATGTCGCCTCATCTGCGTACCGTCGAGATTATGACTTCCATGCTTGCTTTCACGAGTCATCTCTATCCTGACCAAACTGTGACGTCTCTTTCATTGTTTGCCTGCTCCCTCTTCAGTGGATTTCTAGTCAATTTGGCTCTAATGCCAAATTTCTGAGATGGCTGTGATTATCTGTATCCCTAGTCCTGTGACCGCCTGTAGTTGTTTCTTCGAGCAGACTACCCTCACTAAGACCGTGTTCGCTTAATTTCCGAAACTTCCTCACCCGCTTCTTCCTTGCAATCCATTTTTCTCTGGTTAACGATAGATCCTCGATCAAGGCTTCTCCTTTTTACTTGTCTTGTCACATATGACTTTTTCTGAACAATGTTCTCTTGACTGTCCCATTACAGCGAATCACTTCAACATTCAGCAAAGGTAAGCGCCCCTCCTCCTCTGCTTCCATTATAAACATGATTCTTTAATCAATCTGGTTTATAGCCCTCAGGTAATCCTCCAACTTTTCCCTTCCATGCGACCAAAGTGCCAAGTAGTCATCCAGGTACCGCATGAGCACTCTTGGTTGCAGCGGGGATGTCTTGAATTTCTCTTCCAATTTGTTCACGTATACATTTGCCAATAGAGGTGAGAGCGGCGATCGCATCGGAAGTCCAAATGTCTCTTCATAGATCTTGCCATTCAATGTGAAGTAGGTAATACTTATTGTCAAGTTGACTAGTGCCTCCTGATCCTCTTTGCCTCCAGGATATCCCCCTCTCGGTCCAAGATATCCAGCAGGGTCTTTTCTCCAGACATGTTTGTGTACGTAGACTGTACATCACAACCTACCAATATTTCTGTTACTTTCAATGCCATGTTTTGCTCCTTTGAGAAGATTCATATAAATACTTTACTGTGCTTGATAATCTGTCGTTTGCCTACTTGAGTGTCAGGCATATGAACTTTGACAATTTGTGTGGTGCTCCCTACTTGTTGTTGACAAATAGTCTAAGTGGTTCCCCTTCTTTGTGTATCTGCATTAAATCCAAGATTGTTGGTGATCGTGCATGTTTTTTTATTAATTAATTTATTGTCCATCCATTAATCTCCCCATTCCTATGCATATTTTTCTGCATCTCCCGTAAGATTGCATTGACCTTCATTGTTGGGTCCTTCTTTAATACTCGATATGTACCTTCCATTTTCTCAGTATATTGTTTTCTAGCAATTTTATCTGTCACTCTAACTTTGTCCGCCAGAACGGCCAATTGTTCATTCCTTTCTTAGGTCCTGGGTATTCTCGCAAATCTGTTCCTGTGCCTTGGCTCATGATGTGTGGATCATTTTCATCTCCATTTCCCGTTTTGTATCATCAGGAAATTCATCATAGATATTGATGATCTCTATCAAAGCGTCTTTTATACGGTTTCTAC